GGGGGGAGAGGGGTGGAACCATGAGCCAATCAGAGGAGGCAGGAGGCGGAGCTATTTTCAAACCTTGCTAGCTCTCTCGCTAGCTTTCCAAGATTACCAACCCCAGCTTTAATGTACAAGGTAATTTATTTTAGCATTATACAATGCAAGGTTGCAAAATGAAAACAAAGTTGTAATTCCTTTGTGCTACACACATAGAACATAACAGATAATTAAGTAAGGTTAAAAAACAATACATACAGTTATTTATATACAAATATAAATACTTGTATACACCCAGGAAATAATTTTGCAGTGCATTTATGGATTGCATCTTGGGGAATGATAGTGATGATAAAATGGTTTTGTCTTTGACTGCGTTAGAACCAAGCACCATCCATGTAAACACAGCATCTGCCTCCTCTCGTCCTGCACTCTGTCAGCTCCGAACACTGTCTGCCCGTTGAGGATCCTAAATTTTGATGTAGCAGGTCCCTGTAAAGATGTAGACACAAAAGTCTCTGATTTCCTGTTGTTTGGCCTGCCTGAGTCCCATTTGGTCCAGATGCAGCATAAGCCAGGAGCAGCCTTAAGTCCAAGCTGTGCCAGCATGGCTTCTATCCCGGCTCTCATCCTCTCCTCCTGGAGCGATCACAGCCCCTTCCGTGATGGGCTGGTCTAGCCGATCTGGGTGGGTGGATCATTGTCCACTGCTTTTTAATCCAAAGCCACACTTCATTTTCCAATGACTGTAGGCTATTTTAGCTGCAGGATCTAAATGTGCAGCCATTGTCATTAAATGTCCTGAATATTACATTTTTGACATCATTCCACGGGCCTGAGAGACAGGGATGGAGGGCCAAAAATGGCCCGGGCCGACAGTTTGAGGCAACTGGTATAGCTATAATGATGCAATTTGTGTCAGTATAACAGCCCCAACTGTTTATGGTGTGATGCCTGAAGCTTGCATCACTCTGCAGTTTGGCCCTCTCTTTTACAGTTAGTTAGAAGAGACTGAACTGTTATTGTCTTAATTGTTTCACACAGTCTTAAATTCCATTAGAAGTAACATAATCCTTTGGATGACAAAAAAATATTTTCTAATCTGAATACTTTTGGATTACTACAAAATTTAAAAAACAAAAGAACATTTTCAGTTCCATAAATGTTCTTTTTTCTCTTAAAACATCTTCCTACAGGGAGTAAGGGTATCTGGCCTTTCCGAAGAAGGGGCTGTTCTGGGGAAACTGTTCCAAAAGTAGGGACCACAATATCGCCACCCTGTTAAAATAATCGCCTAACTCATTTTTTCAAGTTTTTCAGGAAACACA